TAGTATAGACTATGGGTTGTGGTACAATTCCACAATCGGGTTCGCGACCGGCGGCTCTTCTGGAGTCCCACCCTGACACACCTGGGCGTTTTGTGCTTCGTTAGTCCAAGCGAGCGCCACCACCGTACCGTTCGACACTTACGGGCCGGTCAGGGCGAGGGGAGTGCGCGACCGGAGCGACGGACGTGATCCAAAACAGCTCGAATCCGCTACCCGTATCCTCGATACGAAATCACTTCGACTGTCGGTTCAGGAATATCGCACCTTAGTGACGCGCGAGATCGACCTCAATCCGCCACCCGCCGTCTTCGACCACCCCGGAAACATGGCTGCTTGCAATTCACGCGGGCCACCCCCATATAGCAGCTTCCTTGCGGACCACCCTTGCGTCGTCCCGTCGTCGACAATCCCATTGACTTGCCACGCGGCGCGGGACCGACGTCCATAGCACACTGCCTGCACACAACGGCGCGAATAATAGCAACAATGACACGCCTTATGGTAGCGTCGTCGCTTTTATGCGCTTCCAGGCCGCGCGATCTGTCGACCTGACTGAGACGACTACACCCCAGACGGCCCCGAGCGCCTATGCCCCGCCGACCTCGGTACGCCATCCAAGACAAAGACGATGCGTGAACCCGTCCTCCAAGAGTTAACGACCAGTCCACACACGTGCGCAAGCGAGCCTGGCTGACCGATCCACATCTGCGACACCGCGCAGCGACACCACACAGCCGCGTCTGTGGCGCCAAATCACACGGGGAGCGACAATCACACTGCCGCGACTCGAAACGGATCTGGCGATCTGCTGCTCGCCCAGGAGCCGAGATACTGCGCGGGTCGGCTCCGCGGCCAGCTGGCGTCGACGCACACCGCGCGTCGCGTGGCTCACCGCCCGCGCGACCTGAGCAGATGCACCCCACCCCAGATGCTGGATCCAACGACCACTCGACAGCGCACCATCGTGGAGACCAAGCCCGGCGACAGCACGGATGCTGCGCATGGTGTCCCTCGCAGCCGATGCCACGCACTCCTTCTTTGCAGCTCCTGCTGTCGACACAGGGATTCACCACCACCCCAACGCCACGAGCGCGGAGCGTCCGAGCCAGTAATGCGAACACCACACGTCACTCAACCCCATCGGCGTTGAGGTCGCGCTGACCGAACACCGGCGAGCGCCGCAACAGCACGATCATCGGAGAGACTACCTCTCGGCTCCTTTTCTAGCGCTTGATCTCCGGCTCCTCTTGCGCTGCAAGACGATCCCCTTGCTCCCGCTTCGAGTGTGTTATATCTGAGGAGAACTCGGTGAGGAAATCCACCTGCCCATCGCCGTCAAAATCGCGCCCCACCTAACCGCCGCCTCCTCCTATCACTGAATTCAAAGACCTCGTCGCTCCTGATGAAAACTCCACGTTCTCAAGCCTCTCCCCCCACCACATCACTTCGTGTCCTGCCGTGTCTGCGCGCTGCGTCCACAACACGTCGAGTCGTCCATCGCCGGTAAAGTCGTCGGTCTGATTAAACGAATAGGTTTGGGAAATCGCCACCTCCGCGGCGGTCCACACGCCCAAGGCTACATCCAAAACCTCTAACCTGCTTTCATACTCCGAAGGTCAGTACCCGCGATGCTGCTTCTAAAGTCCCTTCAAACGTAGTCCCACCGACCAAAATAACTCGACCCGGCCATCGCCTCCCACGCGCCACGAAGCCAGCTATCGATCTGCGCGAGTACCTCGACTTGGAGTTCCGGCCCGATAGACCAAACTTCTGTTGAGTACTCACGGTTGCTTCTTGATATCGCGATTTCGTTTTACCATCGCCCGTCAAATCAGCACCAAGCACACTTAAGACCACCATACCTGTAGCCGCTACTTCCTTTATAATAGGCCCACGTTCCAAGGCACCCCGCCCGTCATTGACGGCCATCAGCCAGCCACTTTTAGACGCACGCCCTTGCGGTGTTTCCGTTTCCGTTTGCCAGAGGCCGAAAAGGTCTAAGTCGCCCCATGCGCATCCAAGTCCGTCACACGCCCGCCCGTCCTCTCCCCCTAGATACCGCCCCACGCTACCATACTCCATAGGCTTCTTCCCCTACCCGGCGCAATCGTAGAACACCCGTCGGCGCAAAAGGCCAGCCCCTCAAATCAAGTATTACTCGACGTCGGCGTCGGCATTTCCCCTCTATCAACCCTCTTCCACCCCGGTCAACTCGATCCAGTCGATCTCAAACGACTCGACAACCCCAGGCTCGGTATCCTCAACCCAAATCCAGTATACACCAGCCGATATTTTTTAACAGCCCTCCCAGTCTCCTCGCCAAGGACAGCACATTCTGCACTCGGTAGTATAGACATTGTCTTGGTGATTTCTTCTGGATCAAGATCACGATCAAATTAGAATAAAACCGGAAGCGTTTTCCCACTCGATAGAAGAAATCCTCTCCGTAGTGCGGTCATGTGATGGTGCGGCCCGAACGCTGACTTGGTCGAACATCCCGTATCGTACCCAATGGTCGAAGAAATCAATTCTACGATGGAGTCGTACACCAACTATTGGTACGGCGGATCGACCGTATCCGCCACCTCTCTCTTCAACCACCCCGGAAACGGGTGAAATTCACGGCTACCCCCCCATGTAAGCGCTTCTTTAGTGGTCCACCCTTGCGTCGTCCCGTCGTCGAAATCCCATTTGATCGCCTCGGCGGGGCCACTCCCCAACACAATGCCTGCAACAACGGCGAGCTTCAACATGATACCACGATCCGTCCAACTGGTAAATTCCGACCCTTCCGCATCAGTCTCACCTTCAACGCGATATTCGCCAATCAGACCATAGTACAAGTCTGTTGGCAGGGCTAAGATCACGGCTGGAGTGCCTCCTCCACTATGCGCACTGGGCGATCTCATGCGTCACCGAAAACGCAAACGAGGCGCTCGTCACCTCCTTGGGGCGGTCAAAAGCATCGACCCGCAAGACCATATCCTCGATATCGACGGTGATCGCTCGCACCTCTGCGTGCAGCGGTGCAAAGACTACCTTGCCGTATAGGCGTCCCCTTTAAACACAAAGGTGTGCCGCCTGACAACGCCTCCCGCACCAAGCCCATGCGTTCCTGATAGTAGTAGTCTTCATTACCACCTTTGCCACGCCGCTCCATGTAGTAGTGCTCAAAACTGTTGTCCGCATCGCGCTTGAGCACACCCCAGTATCTGTACTCGCCACCTCGGTCTGTACGCAGCACCATCTTCGCCGGATCGACCATCACCTTGGGATAGCTCTGATTGACCACCGTCATCTCAAAGCCGTAAAACGCGGCGGCGCATAGCCCCGGTCCAAGTCGCGGATCCGCTCCGTAGGTAAAGGGGTTCAGATTCGGCTCGCGGAAGGTAAAACGGGCGTACTCCTGATTTAGAGCCTGATCGCTTAGATAGCGCAGCTTGAGGCGGAACCCCTCCTGCTCGAAGACTGTGGTACTATCCTCCGGGTCGAAGTAATAGCGACCATCCTCCAGCAGGCTCTCCTGCGGCACAACCCACAGCGCATAGCGCAAATCCGGCGGAAACCGAATGCAGCCAGCCGCCACAAGCAGCGCAAGCATACTCCATCCCCATGCCTTCATTCTGCCGCCACCTCGCCCAAGTACATGCGGCCGATCATCTCTCGATTGCTGCGGGCAAACTCCAAGGCGCGCCATTCTTCCTCTCTTCCCTCTAACGCCGCGACAGCCTCCTCATAGGCTAGAGCGGCCAAGCGCCAGTTGTCCATCTGGTAATAGGAAACTCCGATATTGCACCGCGCCGCGGCCTCGCTGGGCGTGTTGGGGTAGCGCTCAATCACCTCCTCCAGCACCGCGATGGCCCGCACAAATCCAAGTAAAAGGGGGGTAAACGAAGCGTAAAGAACATGGGTGGAATAAAAGAAATTAACAGATATCGAAATACAACTTCAAACGGGAAGAAGGAAACAAAGGCAGAAATAATAGTAACGGTTAAAAAGACAGAGGACAAATGATATAGAATCGGAGGATAAAAAAGGTAGAGAGGAAAAAAAAAGGGAAAGCTGATTAGAATAAACAAGGGCTAGGAAAGGAATAAGAGCAAGAGGAGGTAGCGTTAGATTATAAAGGAAGAATGGAGTGACGAAGAGAAGAGCCAACAAGGACAAGAGGTAAAGGAACGGAAAGTGGAGAATAAGTGAGGGAAGACATAAAGGCAGTCGAGCAGCAACGAAAAGGGGCGGCGGGAGAAAGGAGGGCGAAAGAGGTAAGAGAACGGAGAGAGAAAAAGAGCGAAACGAAGAAGCGGTGCCAGAAAAACAAAAGATTATAAAGGGAAATGTAAGCAAGGGGCAAAAGGAAAAAGAGGAAGTTGTAAATGAGGGAGAATTCCGTCTTCTTTCTTTCCTCTTGCTCTTCTCCGCGCTGGCCCGTGCGCCCCGACTTGGCCGCTGCCGTTTGGTGTCCCCCCGCTCGTCTTCAGCCGCTCGGCCGCTGCGCCCGCGGCCTGGCGCGCCGGCCGGGCCGCTGCTCCTGCTGCTGGCGCGCCGGCGCCTGCACGCATGCGCTGCTGCGGGCTCGCGCGCGGGCGCTGCGCCTGGGGCTGGCTCGCGGCTCTGCCGCTGCTCTGTTGGCGGTCGCGCCGGCTCGGGCCGCTGCGCCCGCGGCGGGCGCGCCGGCCCTGCCGCTGCGCCTTCGGCGGGCTCGCCGCGCGCCCCTTCTCTCCCCACTGTCTCCCCGGCTGCCAAACACAAAACAAAAGGAAGCTGTCTGCCATGGCTGTAAGACACGAGGTCAGAGACAAACGCAGACTCATGGGTGATGATGTATCTGAGCTCCGAGTTGGATTCCAATGGTTTCAGTTCCGAGTGATGTTCCACTACTGCCTTGTTCCCACCTTCAGCTCGCTCACCAGAGGACTCACGTATAGAAGATTTGCACACTTCTTGCAGGGAGCCAACATGAGCTGGGCCAGTTGAACCTTGATCTGGGCCAATCACAATGTGAGCTGGGCCAGTTAACCTTGACCTGGGCTCTTTCCACGAGATATTGGCCATTGAACCTGACCTGTCACAGGAACTGAAGTCATCAATCAGAAGAGGGTCCAGCCAGAGAGAAGTAGAAGGAGAGACGAGAAATGTGGTCGAGGATGAATAGCAAGGGAAGGACTGACGGTGATCGTTGATCAAAGCGACATATCTTTTGGTCGGTTGATGTGGTGTACGGGTCACATTGCTGGATGGTTGAGTGAGTAAGGTATTGTGATGTGTAGCAGATTGGGTCACATTGTGATGTGGAGTAACGTGACTGGATGGGAGTGTGGAGAGGTGAGTTTGATGACATAAAGATTTTGGAGAAGATTTTGACAGCCACGGTGATGTGAAACTGTGCGAATGTGACTTGGTGATGTGTGGTGAAGTTGACTTGGTGAAGTGTGTGTGAAGGTGACTTGGGTATTGTGTGTGAAGGTGACCTTGGTGAGTGTGTGTAAAGGTGACTTTGGTGAAGGTTGCTGGAGTGATACGAGAGAGGCGTGAGGAGATGGTTGAGGTGAAGATAGAAATGATGCCTGTGTGATTGTGACAGGTGTGAGTAGGGAAGTGGTGCCAGTGGTGCTAGCGAGGGTGTGGGCAATGGTAGAAGTGGTGATATTGGGGACTGGTGTGAGAGGTGAGTCAGTAGAAACAGGAGGACCGGCAGAAGACTGTGGGACGGAGTAAATTCTGGCAGACAAGGGCTGGACTCTGTGTAAAAGGAACAAACACAATACCCAGCTAGAAATCTGAGAGAGAAGCGTCATTTCCATGTTGATATGTATCACAAGTACGGTAGTATATAGGGATGGGCATGGTACCTAGCATCATAGATATATGGGGCTATGATAGGGAGTTTTGTTAATCTTCATAATAATGTACCTGAGACCGTGGTTGTGTCCTTTACTGGAGTCCTTGGGATCTTGTCATGTGAAACAAAGGCTTCTTTACCTGCATAATAGGTTACCCATGCACACATGTAAGTTGCTCACACACTCACATATAGCTGCTATATAGTGCTCACCAAGTGCTGACATGGGATCAGCCAGGGAATGAATCTAGAGAAACAAGAAAGCCAGTGACCACAGCACGAGAAACAAACAGTTTAAAGAAAGAAAGGGGGAGAGATATGTTTGCAGTACCTCTGGCTCTGGTGCATGGGGAGATGTTGGGGAATCATCAGCCATGGCTGCAGCTATCTGGAGACACAAAGAAATCGCGTGCTAAAGTAAACAGAATTTCTCTAGGCCATTCTAGATACCTGTGTAGCCAGAATGTCGTGTGCAGCAGGCATGGCGTCCATGAGTCGAAGGTTGGTGGGGGGAGATCCTGGGCCTTTTGCCTGAGACGTAATGGGTGTGGTTTCCATCGCCACTCTTCCCTCACTAGCACGAGCAGACGATGTAATTGGTGGGTGTGGCCTGGTTTTAGAAGGCCTCTCTTGTTTCTTTTTGACGGGAATCGACGACCTTTTCCTGGAGGACGGGTCACCTCTTGACGTCTCCCTTCTGCTGTCAGTATCAGCAGTAGCACTAGGTCGCTCGTGGTGCTTCTGGTGATGATGGTGAGGGTGGAGGGTGGAGTTTGGTGAGGAGGAGGGATGGGAGTGTGACTGTGCCAGTTGCCGGGAGCGAGAGCGTCTCTGGACACTCATGGAGATGTTGTGCACTGCTTCAGGTGTGGACGCTGTAGTTAGGTACATATAATAGGGAATATCGAATGGTGTATCAGACCCACAGGAGTCACAGGGGAGGGAGAGATGGGAGAGGTGGTTCTGAAGATGTCTCACGTCAGGAGAAGACAGAGACTGTGCCTTGCGAGGAGACGGTGGCAGCAGATCCATTTCCAGACTCTGATGAACACAGTGCCACACAAAATTATACATTCTAGTCGGCATAATTAATATCAAAAGTATGATACACATATTTTACACATTTACCGGACATACGTAACATGCATTCACTGGGCATAATACCCATTTTGGTACACACACACCCAATTGGTGAGGGACAGGGCGAGAAAGACTGCCACTGCTTTGTCATGGAGTTTAAAGTGACGAGCCCAGTGCACTGGACTTCTTATTTATCATCCCTACTTTGCCCAGATTAAGACACAGTGCCGAAATATAAAAATCGGATCGTGTTTTTTCTATTGGCAAAACTTTTGCACATCAACAATCTTAAAAAAGTGTTGAGCTCACAGGGAGTGTGATTGGGGGTATATGAAACTGCTGCGGAGTTTGTAGACCACTGTCTCTGTCCCTGTCTCCTCTCTCTTCTCCCTCCCCCTCCCCCTCCTCTCCCCCCTCTCCCTCCTCTCCCCCCTGTCCACACTGAGACCTCAGTGTCCTCAGCTCCTCCTCCAATCTCTCCATACTCTCCTAAACCAAGAGAGATGAGAATGTGGAGATGTGTAGCGACATCATCAAGAGAGTCACACATGAAGGATGTAACGTCTGTTTCTGTAGCCAATGCGAATGTTTTTCCAGAGAAACCTCGGTGATATTGTCGGTCTCGCGATACATATGCCCACACACAACCGGACTTGCCTGCAGTGACTGTTGATATTCCATAAGAGATGCCCTGTATATAGCATGAATAAAGTTTGAACAGATAATATGTTACGAGTATAGAGCATGCTGTATAAAATTTGTGAACTGCACGACGTGAGTTTTAGCGTGTTGTGCTTGCCGGTTAGCCACCTTTTTATCACCAAAAGTGATTCACAAAGTGTTTGGTTGTTGCTAATGTTTCTAGTCACCCGGTGGTTGTTGCTAATCTAGTCAGCCGGTGGTTGTTGTTAATATTTCTAGTCACCCGGTGGTTGTTGTTAACGTTTCTAGCTGGACCACATGGTGTGGCAGGATGGGTGCTGACCTGAGGTTGTGAGAGGTTGCCAGGTTGACTCTGTGCGCCTGCAGTAGCTCCTTCATCTCCTCACTCTCCTCCTGAAACGATGGCACCTCACCTGGGACATAACAGAGCCATCAGTAACTGCGATACCAATCTTCCATCACTCAGGCTGGGGTCACAATACATGTCGCATTGCCCCGCTGCGAGGATAGAATCCATTTCCATCTTCGCGGCTCAACGCAAAGCGGCACGGCGCGACAGGGTAATGCGACGTACTGTGAACCCAGCCTCAGCCACTCACATTCTCTAAACGTGTCCCTCATCACTTCCAGGGCACAGTTCCACAGCTGTAGAAGACTACGTAATATCGAGAGAGAGAGAGAGAGAGAGAGCACACATGGACCATACATTCGTACACAATGTGGACATTACCTCACTAAATTCAGCTTCCCACCTTCGTACGTGTTTCCAACTGTTCCCTACGGAATAAAGATGATACAAAAGCCAGGCTCACAATATTGGTGCAGGCACTTGTGTGCACTATGTTGTTTTTATCTTTTCGGTGTAGCAAAATTTCGTAGCAAAATATTCAGACAGTGGTTGGCCTTGAGAGTGGCCATCCACTAGTTTGCATCGTGACGCAGCCGTCCGTATGGTAAGAACAAGCTGTGCTATCATGATACAATGCCTTCAGTCAAAATTGTGAACAGTCAGTCTCAAAAGTGGCCTTATTGACTGTACACACATATGTACCTCTCTCAGTTTAGCTTCATACAGGTGTTGAACAGCCTCTGGTATCTGAAATATACACCACATGATGAGTATATACACTGAGTTGCTGCTGCTGCTGCTGCTCACCTGAAAATGGAGGTCTTTGGCATCAATGGTGTACTTATTGGCATTGCCTCTGGCCACTGTACCCACCACCTCTCTCTGTATCACACACAGTACACATGAACTGGCAACTAGCACGCACAAGCAAGTCCACAGTACAACGTTTGAACCGTTCTACAGTGATGTCGTGCGTGAGAGTATACTGTGCCATAGCACAGTGGTTTGAGGTTTGCCTTGTGTTGTGTTGTGGATTCGAACCCCTACCAGCTGAGTTGCCCTGGTAGAGCACTCGCCTAGACTGCAGAGTGTCGTGGGTTCGAACCTTTGAAAAGAAAGAGCTGTCCTGGGTGTAGTTGACTTGTTTGCCTTGCCTTGCCTTTCTACCTCGTTACCAAGTTGTTGAGACATGCACATTTTTCAGTGCTAATATTGCACAACACACATTGTGTCACTCAAAATCACATGTATATACACTCTATCTCTCTATAATACACACACACACTACAGGTAAATTTGCAATATGCATGGCCCTACTATACCTCATGAGAAGATTTTGACAGAAATTCATCCAGAGATTTCCAGTAACCCCTCACCTATTAATATGCAATACATAAACTGAAGACAGTATAATAGAGATAAGATAGGCTCAAAACCCAGGCCTTCCCGGTGAAATCCTGGTTCCAAGGCTAGATATGTAAATGTACCATCTTCATCTTGCTTTTCCTGGCTCTGTCCCCTGCTGGAGTAGACCCTCCACTGCAGCTCTCGTGTTGACTGCTGTGTCAATGTACATTGAGCCATAGTATATAGTGTGTGGATTAACACTTTTGTGGAGGGCTAAACCCTGGCAAATATGTGCACATGCACCTATTGGAAACAAGGGGGTGCTTTAGGTATGTATAGGCTCTCTGCTGGCTCTTTGACTATGTGGTTTGTGGTATGGCTGATGATTCACTTATTCCTCTAGGACAGAGACTGGTTTAGAGGGAAAATGGAACAGATTTGAGCTACCTGGATAGAACAGTAGAAGCATCTTTTAGCTGAGCCTCCAACTCCCGTTTCTGTCTTCCCAGAGATCTGTACTCCTTCACCTGATCACTGTATGGTGACAGAAACATTACTTTCAAACACTTGCTGACAATTGCACTTGGTAAACTGTCGTAAGGATGGATGATCAACAGTTTAGTGGATTGTGTCTGGGATCACCGGGGTGTATCTGGGGGGTCTCAGTGTCCCTTGGTTTCTGGCAACATGTTCTACTAGAACGAATGAATCACATCATTGGCGAGCAAACGAGAGTACAGTTCAATATTCCACACACGTATTTGGAATCACGTAAAACATTAGGGTCTATGCAGTGTCCGTCACATTATGTGTAGAAAGATCCCGCATTACGACGACTGTAAGTAGGTTCGCTTTGCTTGCCAATTGGCTCCGTAGCACATACTAAGTACGTACGTACGCCACAAACTGTCTCCAGTGGTCGTGTAGGTCAGAGGTCAGCCGGAGTCTCTGGGCCACCTTCTGACTGTGCCTGATGATGTGGCACTGGAGAGCTCGTCTCAGGAGGTGAGGGCCGGAGGAGGAGGGGGAGGAGGGGTGGAGGGAGGCCGGGGAGGTGACAAACGATGAGAGGTACACCTGCTTTTCTGGAGTTATTGGAAGACCACGGGGACCCAGAGGGAGGGAGAGGGAGAAGAAAAGACGATATAAAGAATCAAAACAGACATACGTGTTAGATTAAAATAGTGCACAGAGATAAATATGAAGGATTACAGGGTGTCAAATGCAAGCAAGATGGATTCGAACATATGACACTCTACTAATGTTATACAATTGTCTATTTGCAGACCATCTCTCCTCACACACCAGCACTATGTGTCACTGCATACCTTCTCCCTTGGCCTCTCTCATACACACGACTCTGAGGACGTGGGCAGTGAACCGCAGCATCAGCTGCTCAAACCGTTCACCTGCAGCAGGACAAGAACAGTCTGTCATTTAAAGGACTATCCATCTAACTATAAAGATGTAATAGGTTGAGAGTGTACTGACCTCCAGGGGACATCAGCAGTGAGGCAGACAACCTGGGAATCTTGGACTCTGGATCTTCCTATAGTAACCGGTAATCACGTATCGCTGGCGGGAAACTTTCTTCAACTACTCACACAAATCTCTCTCATTGGGTAAAACAAAATAATGGCCAACCAGCGAAATTCTACGTATGTACGTGATGTTAGTCTATGGTGGCCTACACTTATACGTCTATCTATCAAAAGTCCTCATTACATACGTCCATAATGGGGTAGCTCATAAACTGACCTTGGAGATCCTGGTCATCCAGTTGGAGCAGACTTTACGAAACTGGGCCTCCTGTTTCTTGTCATAGACAGGCCAGCAATCTCTGCACAGAAGACAACCCCGAAACCTGTGTACACCTCTACACATTGTGCAACTGAACCATTTTACTGTAGGTTCGAGGTTCGTCTAGTACTTGTAGCGTGCTGCACTATCTTCAAAGAGGCAAGTGTAGGTGTAAGATATCGTTCGCTGACATCATCATTCAGATCCTCAAAACAAGGGAATTTGTTTCCATGAGGTTTACTGTGTAAGTCAATGTGTACATACGTACGTATGTATGTACCTGAACTCTTCATAGGCGATATGAGAGTCAAGCCTGTTGAACAGATAGTGCAGAATAACCTCCGTCCCTTTCTTGTTGATGTGGCCAAACATCTCCCTGAAAAGAAATTGTTGCTGTTAATAAACTAACTAAACCGGCAATTAGTTTCTCTTGAAGGCTAGGATTTAGGAGAAAATGAACTTGGTGACGAGCTAAGGAATACCACAAGGATGATTATAGAGTGCACATGGGGTTCGAAGGAATTGAGAACCAACTTCTGTTGGGAGTCAAACTCAGGTGAGGTGCCGCAGGTAAAGTGCACTATGCATTGAGCTACAGCTCTCAGACAAAAGCTGGTCTTCCCATTCCCTCTAATAGGTATTCTATGAGAAGTAGCGTTTCGTAGAACGAACTTGCAGAAGTGGACTTTGGTCTTGTCTTCCTGAGCAATGTGGTCGAATCCCAGCATAAGGAGGTTGGTGAACCAGATTTTCCGCTGGTCTAGAGACTGCGGCATTTCCGTAGAGACGCTCAGGTTTGCCATTATTCACAGAAACACCCCTGGAAAGCTACAACTGTCCCCAAAAACTTCCTCTGTGCATGCAGCGCAGACGACCAGACCGCGCGCTTTTCAGCAGTGCAGAAAGGGTTAAAATTATCCTTTGACCTCTCTGCTGCAAACACAGAATGTCTTCAATGATCAGGGCTTGCTCATTCCTTAGGCATGCAGCAAGAGGAAGAATAGGAAATAGATCAGTGGATGTGTGGTCGATAAGAACTGCTAGTGTCACTACATATCGAGGACTGAACTCGGGAGAAAAGCCTCCAACAAGCCAGGGAGGAGGGAGGGAAGACGGTCCAGCCAAAGAAGAGAAACATCCAGATGCAGAGAAGGAGCCTCTGCCCGAGTGGCCAGACGGGGTTAATCATGAAACTGGGGAGAGGGATGGACCTAGGGGGCCTGAACCAACTCGTTATGGAGACTGGGAGAGAAAGGGGAGAGTTTCTGATTTTTAGGGTTAAATAATGTGTGTCCTGTATGGTGCGTGTCATGCCAAATCCTGCCTAGTTCACAGTGAGACTAATACCTGTCCAATTGTGTCCCCACATCATGTAAATCTAGACAATTCTTTAAAACATGTGTCACGTGTGTATTAGGGTAAGGTTCACTTTGGCATCAAAAAGGTACAACATTGTGCTCATTAGAGATTGGTTTGGTCAAACAAGTTGACAAACAAAGCACATGGAAAATGTTGGTGAAAATACAGAACCATGTTCACTGAAACAAGATGTGTGAGTGTGAGTAAAAAGTCTGTCTTCTAGAGTGTGCAACTGTGCTCAGATCCATGTCCCTACTGGCTGTGGTTCAGTCCTTCTATCATGTGCACCGCCACCACTGCCTCTGTCCGAGACCGCCATCCCGAAATCGCAGCGAGCTGTGCTCATGGGTGCCACAGTCGACCACTTGTTGGTCTGCGGGTCGTATCTCTCAACGCTCTGTAGCAACGTCTTCCCGCTGTGTCCTCCTGCCACGTAGAGACAGCCGTCGTGAGCAGCCGCGGTGGGGCTGTTTCTCGGGACGCTCATACTCTCCAACATTCTCCAGGTGTCAGAGTTGGGGCTGTAGCACTCGACCGAGCTGAGATGCTCCCTCCCGCTGTAGCCACCCACGGCAAAGAGCCGTCCGTTCAGCGCAGCCACTCCGGGTCTACTGCGAGCGACGTTCATGTCTGCCACGCGACTCCAGGCCGACATGTAGGGAGACAGCTTTTCGACTGTGTGGAGGCGAGTGTTTCCTTCCATTCCACCCACTGCATAGACATTGTCGCCCAGAGTAGCTGCCTGAACGTAGGAACGTCGCTGGGTCAGTGGAGGTGCAGGAGTCCACTGGTCATGCTGTGGATCATACACGTCGACATCGCTCAAGTCCTGTTGAGTTTTCGAGTAGCCTCCGACGCAGTATATGTGGCCGTCTTTGTCCACTGTTGCCCCAAATCCACTCCGTGCTGTTGGCATTGGAGCACCGCTAGACCACTGCTCCGATACTGTGTCGTAAACGTCCACACTTGCGAGACGTTTACTGCCGTTGTATCCACCGATAGAATAGAGCTTGTCGCCTGAGCTGACGAGTGCTGCGTGTGATTTCTTCTGCGGGAGGGCGGTAGCTGCGGCCCAGTCTTTCTTGCTCACGTTGTACCTCTCCATGGAGCTGGTGTTGGAGCCAGCCGTGATCCCTCCAGCAGCAAAGATGAGGGACGGTTTCTTCTTCCCCGTGACTTTGCTCCCTTCACCCTCCGATCTCTCGGTAACCATCTCCTGTTCTGTTGTAGTCGCCGTGTTCTTTGTCTCTCTGTCGCTGTCTCGGCGCTCGCTCTCTGGTAGTTTGCTCGGTGTGTCTTCATCGGGTGTCTCTTCGTCAGTCTCAAAGCGGACCTTTCTCCTGGTTTTGCCCGAGTCTGGTGGTGTCGGTTGTTTCTGCTGCTCCGTATCGCTCTCCCCACTCGGTGTCTCCCTCCTCTCCTCTTCTCTGATCTCCCTCTCCCCCTCCCCCTTCTCCCTCACAACCTCCTGTCTCCGCTGAAGCTTCTCGAAGCAGGCTCGGAGGCTGCGTACCACCTGCTCGGTCGTGGTCCTCGGCGAGTTCAGAATCTCGGTCACCTTCTCGCGGCTCTGCTGCGGGAAACTGCGTTCCTTCACGGACTGGAGCAGAGGGTAGAGGTCGTTTTGTCGCGACTCTGAGTCGTGGTTTACCCACTCCAGGACGGACTCCAGGACCGTTTCCTGTGACGGGGCAGTCAGGTGAGGACTGCGGACAATGTTGGAGAGATTCTCAAACGAGATGTTGAGAAAGCCCTCGGCGTGGGAGGCACGGGGGAAATTCTTCGCTGCTTGCTCGAGACACTTTGTCTTGATTTGTGGGTAACAGTTCTCCTCGGCGTAGCGCAGGTAGTGGAAACAGTTTTGAGGAGATAGACTGTTTACGATAAACTTTACGCAGGCCTTCTCGATTCGGCTGAGTTGGAGCAGCCTCGCGGCGTAGCATAGAGCCTCCACAGTTGATTCCTTGATCCGGAGCATCGACGTGTACATAAAGTCGATGAGCAACTCGAGGGCACCAACAGTAAGTCTCGGATCAGAGAGAGTGATTTGTGCTGTTTTTCCCTCTTCGTCCATTTTGTTTGACGAGCTTGGCGACTGGAGGAGTGACATTAGGTAGGGAGAACTGGCTGCTAGTATGACTCGATGTGCAGAGAAACACGCGGCGTCCTTGTAGACCTGGACGTCGCAGAACTGCTGTCGACGCCGCAGCTGGGTGAGGACGTAGAACGCTCGTCCTGGTTGGTACTCGTCCTTGAGTAGGACTGTACCGCCACTACTGGTGCTGGCCTCCAGCTCTTCCACTGGCTTACTGCCTGAAGAGTCATCCCACTGCATGTTGATTCTCTCTGTATATCTATAGCCATGAAAGAATTGATACGACATATAAAGTTGAATTGTCACGTATGTATACACAGGCTATTCAGAGGTCTATTCCTATTCTTTGATATCAGCACCCCTGATCCCCTGAAGGCTACAATTCTTATCAATGGTCAATACACGATAATCGACTCATTAGCATGCCATTCACAGTGTGTTCACATTTACATTAGGGAGAGAACAAGATCTCAATCCTTTTTCAGGGCACCTCACTAACAGGTGGCCTATGGGATGGTATACTGAGTGTGCTTATCACCTTAGGGGGTGCAAATCGCACTTGAAGCGTTGATTGATACTAATAAGGAAATCTGTACTACTCATCTGCAGTGTTGCCAAGATGATGCAGTATTCTCAACTAACTGTCTCTGGCAAGACTAGCTAGAGTTCCAAAACTGTGACTTGACAAGGTAAGGACATGGAACATTATGGTAGTGTGCAAGTCAAAGCTCTCTGAACACATTTAACTCTGCCTTGAAACTAAGACACACAGACAGCCAGATTTAGGATGTGCCCACATCACCACACAGACACTGTAGCTATTTAGCTACGGCGCGAATAACTCACCGGTCGCGGAGGGATTTCTGCGTCTTGCTGATGAAGTTTGAATGGCACGGGGGACGGAGAGAGACGCTTTTTTCCCAGCCCTTGCACTTTGCAAAATTGAAATTCGCGGGAAAACTGATTGCGCAGCGCCAGTGAACGCCCTTTTTGTACACGTGCTTACGCATGCGTAGAAGTCGAGAAGGCGCGCTCTTTTCACGTGGACTAGCTAGCTAGCTAGGGATTGCTAGCTAGCTGTGGAGCCGTGGCTTTTCGCGTGGGCTAAGAAGCTAGCCGTGGAGCAGTGGCAGTGGTGGTAGTAGGGGTGATGTCTACCAAGGGAAGGCCGCCACGACCTCCTGGTTCAGCAGGACCCAGCAGTATTCCTGGCAGCAAACGGCCTCGGACTCAGTCTACATCATCATCTGTAGTAGCAAGTGGGAGTGGAGCTGTTGTACACACAGACGGCTGGAACGAGGGCCAGATAGTCCGTATACGTCTCCACAACTTCCTGTTAGATCTTTCTAGCTTGCTGAAAGCTATTGTTATAGGTCGATGTGTCTCTGTAGGACATTTGATGACGTGGAACTTTACCCATCACCTAAACTCAACGTTATAGTGGGACCGAATGGTACGCTACGGTGCATCTCTGTGTATCTTGCATAGCACTCTGCAATGGTTGTGTGTGTTACAGGCACAGGGAAGTCGAGTATCGTGTGTGCAATATGTATCGGCCTCGGAGGTCGACCAACCATCTTAGGCAGGGCTAAAGAGGTTAGTCATCTCTCTGTGTGATTTGTGCTGAGATGGGCAATGGGCTTTTTAACACCCTTCTAAACAACTATGCATGTTTTATTTGTCTTTTAACCCTTCTTACCACGCACTGTGTCTAAAAGATTTTTAACCCTTTCAAAACCACCTCTGCTGCGTGTGCTAACGTCTGAAACGTAAGCTGTGATGAACTGCACTGGGCTATGAGAGAGAAATGATTCCATTTACTGCAGCCCATGAAGGCAGCTGAGCTGAATTGATATTACGGGGAGGGCTTCAATAGTATGGTATTGGGGAACCAGAATAGTGATAAAGTAAAAATTTTGTCAATCTCATAGTGTATAGTAGATGGTCCACAATCGCAAACCTTTGCACAGAAAGCTTTCATAAACTGCACAATTTGTTACCCTGATCTATACACTACAACAACACACTTCCTCGCACATCGCTGTGTACCCAGTTGAAGGACTTTGTGAAACACAACACGGTGGGAGGGTGGGTGGAGCTAGAGCTGTTCAGTGGGCGGGGCAAGAACCGGGTCGTCAGGAGACTCCTCAGCTGCGATGCCAACACCTCGTCATGGATGCTGGATGGGAAAGAGGTTCCCAAGAAAAAAGTGAGTCTACAAACTTTAAGTATTGCAGGCATCGTTGTGCATCTGTATCTTTAGACTTGATTATTGAGTTGATTGTTTTGTAGATTGAAGAACTCACCGCCGATCTTCACATCCAACTGGACAACAAGTGTCAGTTTCTTCCACAGGTAGTTATATAGTCTGCTAATTGGTATATAATATACATGTATTGTTTATCTGTCTGGGGGTTGTTACTGACCTACTGTAGGATATGGTTGTAGAGTTTGCAAGAATGGATGCCTGCAGTCTTCTGGAGGAAACTGAGAAGGCAGTAAGTAATGCTGTTTTGCTATACTTAGCCTCAAACTACTTCACATGCTGGCGACACTCACTCACTGGACCTCTTTGCCTTCAAGCTACTACTTTATACTCCACTTCATCTGCCTGCTGGACCAACTAGTTACACGACATACGTAGTACCGTGTCATAACTGCAGTGCATCCTAGGTAATATACCTATGCCTCCCAGCTATTATGGACTTAGTTGTAATACCCTCCACTCTAATATCCCTAGCTAGCTCCTTGGTGTAATGTGTATATACCCACATGAAGGTGTTAGACCATGTGATGCCAAGAGAAAGAAGATGTGGAGCTCTGGACAGCTGTTTCGGGCTTGTTGGCCCTCATCAGCAGAGCATACCGCAACTTCTCTCTCTGGCATCACGAGTTTATAAAGGCTACCAGAAGTGCAGCACTTGTGGTTCTGAAGTACATTACGAGCAAGCATGCTTACTGCCTGGTGCCTTGTACTGTGTATGACTTTGTATTATGCACTCCATAGATTGGAACTAAGGATCTCTATGCCAACCATTCAAAACTAAAGGAACTGCAGAAAAACCGCCACTCATCTCGAGTAAGTTGTTGACCTCCACTACATACGTCACTACCTAGTGTGTATATAAGAGTTGACTGGTAAATAAACAACAGCTGCACAGGGACACAACACAATTAATTTGGTAGAGAGGGGGAGGAAGGATTTGCACGTGGCAGTAAATCTCTGAAAATAGCACCTGAAAAAAGACACCACTCCACAAGGGCACTATAGACCAGCCCCATATATAGTATTTAGGGATGCTCCCTCTCACTCTCTTTCCCTCTCACTCTGCCCCTGTCTTTCCCTCTCACTCTGTCCCTGTCTTTCTTTGTGTACCCAGAGCAGGATAGAGGAGAAGATGAGACAGAGAGAGGTCGAGGTTGGCAGAAACCAGCTCCTCCAGAGAGACGTGAAGAGATTCAACAACCGAAAGCAGTTCCTGACTCAGATCACTCACCTCAAGATGAAGAAGTGCTGGCTGGTGGGTGGGGAGGGGTGGAGTCTCTTAGGCGAATAACAACCTTTGCATGTACACATAATATTATACAGCAAGGTGTCATTATGAAGAGCGTTAGACGAAATGCCAATGCTATGCACTGTAAATAGTAAATGGCATTTCGGCAAAGAACAGAAGCTAAACTTGGACTTTTTGACTTCTGCTGCATGTCTCAACAACTTGGTAGCGAGGTAGAAAGGCAAGGCAAGGCAAGGCAAACAAGTCACCTACATGACTGACTCAAAGAGTGTGGCAATGTACCCCCTACTACAGGAGTACCAGAGAGGAAGGGCCCAGTTCCAGGAGGCCAAGGAGGCCAGGAAGAAGGCAGTGAGGGAGTTCCGACTGGCCACCAACGAGTACCAACCCATCGCCAAGAAACACGAAGAGCAGGAGAAGGCCGTCTCTAGTTTCGTCAAAAACAGCCAGGTAAAGACTATATTGGAGGCATTTATGTATGTATACCTTTCTATGTGACTGCCCGTGTTCATACAGTATAAAGGCCTCTGTCCGTTAGATATACTTTGCATCTTCCTTGCCCTAGCCCCAGCCCTGGTCCTAACATAGTTTGCTGTTTCTGATATAGATCTTGCTTCTTTGCTTTTTTTCTCTTGCAATAAGTTGCTCTCCACAGATATTTCATGTTGCAAACCACCTTTGCCATACATGCATATACACATACTAACATAATGGACTGTACTGACAGATGACTCTATACCATGAATACTGTATACAGTGTGTGTACGTAAGATGTGTGTGTGACCACTGCAGGCAGCTAGGGATGTGTGGAGGAAGTCGATGAGAGGCCAACAGTTGAGTCGAGATAAGATGGAGGGTCTCGAGGATGAGGTGGAGTCACTGGCTCAGGAGCTGGAGGAGAAGAAGAGAGAGGAGGCCAAGAGACTCAAGAAAGTGGCCACCATCCAGAACGAAATACAGGTATTTAGAACTTGGGGAGGATTCTCGCTGAAGTTGCAATTCCTTGCTTTCTTCAACTAAGAATGCCTTGCTTTCTGCAACTAACCTGAAGAGACTAGGGTCAGAGTACCTTACAACCACTCAGCTTTCAGCTTGATACTAAATTCCTGTCTAAAAATCAGAATTTAGCCGACTAGAGGAAAGGGTTGTAATTTGAGCAACTTCTTGATGGAAGTCTAGCAATTGTGCAGCACACGTGAAGCAATTTGTTGCAAGCTTGAAGCAACCTGTTGCTTCCTTGACTGTACATACTACTGGGACGTTTCTGTACTGTAACACTCAGTCCTATTAGCTGCATTGCTTTGAACTTTTGATAGCTGTCCTTGTATCAAAGATGAATGGGCTTTTATCATTACCACCTCTTTTCTAACTGTGTAATGCTTCAATTTTCTCTACAATCTTCCCTCTCTTCCCTCCCTTCCCACCCCTCCCTCTCTTTTCTTCTCCCCCTCCCTCCCTCTCTCCCTCCCTCTCTCCCTCCCTCCCTCCCTCCCTCTCCTTACTCCCTCTCTCTCTCTCTCCCTCCCTCTTCCCTCTCTCCCTTCCTCCCCCCTTCCCACCATAATAAAGGCCTACACGTTAGAGCTGGAACAGATGGAGAAGCCAGCGTCCATATCTCCACTCATCTCAGAGAAGAACACTAAGATAAGGGCCCTGGGAGGAGAGATAGCTGCGCTGAGACAAGAGATGCATGAGATCTGTGCTCAGAGGGAGGAGCACATTCAACACATGAAACGTTAGTTTTCCACTTGATACTTGATACAACACAACTTCATCATTGATACAACAGCCAGACAGGTTTATGGTTGTGTTATATTTGTGCGTCTAAAGGCAAGTGCATTAAAAAAAAAATTTAAAAACCTCTTTCTTTCTTGCTCTGATGCTTGGCTAGTGTGGTATGAACATTACGTATACACATACTCACACACATACCCACACCTACACACACAGGTTGTGAGGATGAGCTGGGTCAGATGCAGAACGTGAGGAACCAGCGACTGAGACTGCTGCAGAGGTTCGACAGGCACACCCACGACGCCGTTGTCTGGCTGGAGAACCACAGACACCTCTTCAACAAACACGTCTTTGAGCCCATATTACTGAGTGTGAGTCCACAACAGGGCTTTGTCAGCTGAGGAGATTGGGTCTAGTAAGCACAAGTTAAAAGGGAATGTGGCTGTCGAAAAAGTTACTGAAACTGGGAAATTTTTATTGCACTAGGCCGTATTGTGCTTTACTATGTGTGTGGGTGCATGTGTGAGTGCATGTGTGGGTGTGCATGTGTGTGTACATGTGTGTGTATATACTTGGCTGTCTGTTCATATCTGCACCAGGAACACACTCAATCTCAGGTTTTATCTGTAGAATTAGTATATACCTGTAGAAATTTGCAGGTGGACTAAAGGAAATTAAGGTATCTTTGTAAGCATGTGGACTTGGTGGTTCCCAAAGTATGAATGAAGTTTGTAAAAGCTTTCTCCCTGTTTTTTTTTGCTTTCCTCCACCATTTTGGGGCTTGCTTTACTTGCCAACTCTACCATTATTGTAGTACAGAGACTACAGGTTGAACTGACAATCTTCTGTGGTGTGCAGGTGAACGTTCGTGATGCCAGTTACACCAGTCAGGTGGAGGCCGTCCTGGCCGGCAGAGATTTCTACTCCTTCGTGGCTCTCACCAAGGAAGACAAATCAACCCTCTTGAAAGAGGTTCATTCATTTGCATATGTACAGTGCACATACAATTACTTACGAGTTTTCCTTGTTAGAACATAAGTTTTACTGCACGATCAAAAAAATTTAGACTGGGTGAGTGCGCTGTCAATAAAGTTGATACGAGGTAAACCCAATGATGCGATAGTGTGGTCTCCTACACATGATGTATTATTGACTAACACTGTATGAAAATGTTCAAAGTAGTTTCACATCACTCATTGATCTGTTTTCTCTCCACCTTCCCAGCTGAGTGACCGAATGCGACTCAAGATCAACGTGGTCCTGGCCCCGAGCCACGATGTGTCCGAGTACCGCCCCGACATCTCTCCCGACACCCTGGCCCGCTGCGGCTTTGCCGGGATGATCATGGACTTCATCGAGGCCCCCGGGACCTCTGCTGGCCATGTTCTGCCAGTTCCACAACCTGCACAACGTACCCCTCGCCAACGACCTCTCACCCGAGCAGCTAGATGGGGTGGGCTCTAATTGGAATCAGCTCTATATACGCTACACGACTAAATGTTCAAAGTTTAATAGTGCTGATAACATGTGTGATGAATAATCTACCACCGTGGCAATGATGAATTGCACTGGGCTATGAAACGTGTGATTCTACACTTGCAGCCCTAGTGGGCATCTGAGCTGTACAAATTATTGTGGGCCGTAAAAAAAATCGATTGTAAATCGCTGTGGCTATCATGTTTGCATGTATAGCTGCAAATTAACTTTGCGTCTTCCGCCAGAGTTTACATTTTCTCCTAGTGTGTGAGAAGAATAAAGGTTTATTGTGCCTCTTCAAGAATGTGTGTACATGTCTATTATTACTGCCTGCATGACATTTATACACATGGTCTTAGGTAATGAAAGACCTGCCAAATCTGAGAAGATTCTTTACCTATGACACTCAGGTATGTACGACAGGGAAAGCCTTGTGTACACTCTCTTTACTGTGTCTCCTTCTGTGCTGTCTCGCAGTATTCCCTCACCAGGAGTCGCTATAGTGACAAAGTCATCATGAAGAGTGGCAGTATAATGTAAGATTACTCTTCTTGAACTCGTGCCAAGTTTATTCTCTGACTAAGTTGTTGTTGTGTTTCTTTCTGGCTTCTACTTGTACCGTATAGCATTCAAGTAACATTACGTGTCAGTATCAAAAATTTGCAGTAAAAAATTCTCTCTGATTGCTGTGTCCACAGTAAGAATGTCCCTGCCCACAAAATTTTGCAGATAAATCTTTACAGATAAACAGTGAAATATGTAAAGGCTTTCCGTCAATACGTTTTTACTATAGGGCTATCACTGTCAGTCTGTGTCTGTGTGTTGTGTGTGTATGTGTGTGACCAGGCCTTCTAGGTACCTGACTGCCAGTGTCGATGTTCAGAGGAAGACAGAGCTGGAGGAAGAGATAAAGGTCTCTACTATACCTCATTTCCTTCTGCTGATCTGTGCGCTTTTAGTTTTTGTGTGTGCTGTATTGTAAGAGTACTGTATAAGGGCGACCTACCAGTTACATATATATATATGTATTATATATAATATATATATACATATGTACACAGATCTGCTTCCTCCAAACGTACATGTGACTACAGTATGTGATACCTGGTTGTATATTTCAGGAAGCCCAGAGAGCTTTGGGAGAGTTGGATGGGAAGTACAGTGGGTGTGAGAAGACACAGGACGAGCTACAGAAGGAGGACAGCAGAGTCCGACACGAAAAGGCAGGGTTTTTATTAGGAAATTTTTAAGGGTGGGATGACAGCTCTGAGTAAAGCCAAATTTGAATGAGTGCTCTGGGTTGTTTGATGGGCCACTTAGCCAGGGAGCAATGGAAGGAGACTACTTGCTACACGTCACTGTCTTCCATAGACCATGTAAATAACAGCTCACGCTTTGCTTACATACTACACATAGAAAGAAGGAAAGAGAAAGAAGTGTGAGAAGGGCTGCTGGGGCTAACTTGACATCTAGAGAGTTAAAACACAAATACAAACCGAGGGCTAGCAAATCAACTTATATGGGCACGCGTGAGTTATTAATTATAGTACAGAGCGGTAGCATACATGTATGACTGAATTTGAATGACAGACAATAGCATGGATTATATAAGAGTGCCATTATGTGTCTATTGTATATGACTGCTGACTGCTCTGAATGACTGACAGAACCAGCTGAAGGTGAAGATTGACTCCTACAAACAGGCTCAGAGCAACATCTCCTCCAGGCAAACAAGGTTACGTACCTCCCTTCTCAGTGCATATATAGTACACACTCACATGTTGCAACAACTCAGACTAACTGCAAATGCCTGGAGTGTCACTGTTTCCCCACGCAACTGACCAATGAATTAGACTGCCATTAGTTGCAGCTTATCAATTCAAATGCTCTCAGGTCCTTTGAGCAGTGTCCTAGCTATGCTGGGAGCTGATTCTAATGCACTTGTAGATTTCACGATCGCCAGCTAGCCAGCCATATTTTTATCAGCTGCTTCATTTTACAGCTTGGATATAATTATTCTGCCCTAGAAGTCTTTTATTTTCCCTTGTGTATCAAATGTAAATGTCTAACTGCTGCAACATCAAAGAAAGGTGTCCTCGGTATATTAATATTGGTGGTGGGTTGTTTCCCACAGACTCCAGGGGATCAAAGACTCAAGTTTTGATCTTGCAGCCGAGGAAGAGAAGATGAGACAAGAAGTGGGAAAGGTCCGTTCACTGCCCGGGTCGTTCACTGCCCAGGGTCCGTTCACTGCCCAGGGTCTGTTCACTGCCCAATGCAGGGTCCGTGCACTGCCCAGGGTCTGTTCACTGCCCAGGGTCTGTTCACTGCCCAGGGTCCGTTCACTGCCCAGGGTCCGTGCACTGCCCAGGGTCCTGTTCACTGCCCAGGGTCTGTTCACTGCCCAGGGTCCGTGCACTGCCCAGGGTCCGTTCACTGCCCAGGGTCTCACTGCCCAGGGTCCGTCACTGCCCAGGGTCCGTTCACTGCCCAGCTCTCCACACGTGTATGACGTGTTTATATGTACAATGGTTTTTGATGCAGTGTATGTTTTTCATACACTTGCAGATCCATAAGAAACGGATTGAAGCACTCACCAAGTTGCGTGTTCATTTGGAGGTAAACTGCACACGCATGATTTCAGCGTACCATAATAATTATAATGCTGTCGTGTTACTTATGCCTTTGTTGCAAGCTTCAATGTGGGTATATACATAACATACACCGCCCCCCAGTTATCAAGTCTGGTGTCCTACCTTTTTATGTGCAAGTGTGCTGTTTGTCTCGTTTGTGTACTTCGATGGAGGATGGGGGGTGTGGAGGGTGGATTCTATTATCTATGGCTAGTATGCTAAACACATACTTTTCATGTTGCACGCTGTAGATATTTCGAATTTTCTACAATGTGGCCCATCATACCAATACATTGTATAGTTGCACTTTGTCACGCACAACAAATTTACACTGTGTGTGTGTGTGTATTGTTGGCCTTTAGGAGAGCAAGAAGAGCCTGGTGGATTGCTGCAAGGCCTGGGCTCTGGTGACCCAGGCAAAGATGAAGGTCAAACAGCTCATCCACCAGTTCAGAGTAGCCAAGGCAAAGCTGGACAGCGCCGAGGCAAGTCTAATCCTACGTCCCCCAACATTTGCTGCCCTCCCCTTCAAAGTTTAATCATCTTTCATTCCCAATTCGCTTACTTCCCTCTCCTTGTCTCTGTCACCCCATGCCCATGATATGATTAAGTATCAGGCTCCCTCCTATAGACTAGCTTATACACTAATTGCTGGCATATAAATCTCTCCATGCCTGTGCTTTTCCACTTACAATACTTATACCTATAATGTGTGATTTTCCCAAACGTATCTCTCCAGCAAGCCAAGGCTAATCTGGAGGGTGAGGTGGGCGGGATAAAGGCACGAGTCCTCCAGTTGCTGGAGACGGCAAGGAGAGTCTCTGGGGTACAGGATCCTCAGGAGGACCAGGAACTCATGAGTGTGAGCCTCTTTACCTCCATCCCATCCTCCTCCTTCTCCCCTCTCCTGCTATACACGTTTCTCCTTTCCCCATGCCTTTTACTGTCATCAGTGTTCCATCCATAGTGGTCAGTGGCGGTAAGTAAATTTTACCACCACTAGAGAGAGATCAGTTGGCTAGTGCCTTTAACATTCTGTGTGTATATACACTTTCTGGTGATACTGGCCCTTAAACTCTAGTGTAATGCCTGCCAGCTCCTTTTCACACACCTCCCTTCTTCCACCTCTCTCCTTCTTCCACCTCTCTCCTCTATCCAATGCAAGTTGTACATACATACATCATGTATACACAGAGATTCAATACATTTCCTGACGAGTTGGACGAAGTCGAAGAGAGAATTCATGAGTGCCAGGCACAGGCTGACCTCTGCATGGGTATTGACGAAGAGGTACATACATACATACATACATACATACATACATACATACATACATACATACATACATACATACATACATACATACATACATACATACATACATACATACATACATACATACTTACATACATACATATACATATACATTATTCATATACATAGCCACAGTGCTCTGTATCACATAATATAGAAGTAGGTATATACCTGTTATACTGTATGTGACCAGAGTGTACCTATCTTCTACAGTATAACAGAGAGCTTTTGTTGCAACCCTTAAGCAAAGATTGTTACAAACCTTTTTTGCAAGCAGGGCGCACTAAAATATACTTTCATGATCTCACATAATTTCACAAATATTTTTGTTATGCGTGCATTTTCTGTGCAGGCAGTCAGGGAGTATGAAGAGAGAGAGAAGAAAATTAGAGAATTGGAGAAGGAGGTATATACATGTACAGCATAGTGTATAAGAGTTGTCCTTTCAGACAGCGGTGACTTGTTGTGTATGTTGTGTCATTATTGGTAACTCCACTGCTGCAGATCAGTAAGATGCAGAAAAGGTCTGATGATGCCGAGAGTGAGCTCAGTGGCCTAAAGGAAAGGTATGGTCAAATTGTTGAGTTTCTGCCGGCCCCTCAGTAAAATTGTGTGGCCATTTCTTTAGCTTGAGAATGTAACTAGAACATTGCCCAACACAAATGCATCGAGCTAATCTTGCCAAAGATGTTGGGGTTGCTTTTTTGTACTGTTGTGTGTCATCACCAGTGTGTGTGTTCACAGCTGGCTGACTCCACTGAAAGATCTTCTGGGAAAAGTCAGTCTCAGATTCTCAGACTACTTTCGTCTGATGCGTTGTGTAGGTGAAGTTGCTCTCCATGAAGACCCTGTGAGCTACCATTGCGGTCAATGTGTGTCTGTCGTTACAAGTATACAATTATGCTGGTGCTTTTTTTGTATGCGCGTCCCTAATGTTTGGAGGTGGAGTCACATGATATTCTAACTCATACCAGGAGCAATGTATTGCATAACCTATCCTAGAGTTACAAACTCTGATGTCATTATAATAATTATACTTACCCCAAGCTTCACAGATACAATTCTAGCTCACACTATTTTGGACAAATTCCATTCACACCTGTTTTTGTGAAGCACTCTTACATACATGCTCCGCCCACTTTTGACACTATGTATGTATGTGGCATACAGCACATGCATACCCTCACATTATAACACACGCAGAAGGACTTTAGTCAGTACTCAGTGAAGATATCGGTCAAGTTCCGGGATTCTGAGCAGCTCCAGCCACTGAATGCCCAGAGACAGAGCGGCGGGGAGAGGAGCGTGTCCACCATGCTTTACCTCATGGCACTCCAGGGAATCACCGCTTGTCCCTTTAGAGTGGTGGATGAAATCAACCAGGTAATAATAGGGGCTAGAGGGGGGGTCAAAGATGAAATCAACCAGGTAATAATAGGGGCTAGAGGGGGGATCATAGATGAAATCAACCTGGTAGTGATGGGTGGATTAAATTAACTAGGTAATGATGGGGGCTGAATGAGAGGGGGGTTGATGTGGTCAGCAGTGAATTTATTAACTCACAAACACTTGTATAATCTTACAACTCATCATAGATCGGCACATTATACAATTCAACATCTACATCGGCAACTATCAGTTGCTATGCATGATGAAACATACATCAGTGGCTAAACTATTAGTTAACATTACACAATGAAAATATTACACAATGAAACTTGCACAAACAGAGAAAAGTGGCCACAATATGAACATAAGTTTAACCCAAGACCTGTGGTCACTATTGCTAGATGGCAACAGAGCCCATTCACAATGACAACACCTACATCAACACCTCCTCATCCTCTGGAGTCTAAATACTGCTCTTTTGTCATAGTAATTATACTTTCTTGAGACTGCTTTACTGTGCTGTTATATATGTACAAATGCTGCACATTAAATTGCATCCTTGAAACGATAATAATTTGTTGCCCATTTTGGTAGTTGAACGAGGATTGTGTGGTTGTGTGTTGACTGGTGTGCAGGGAATGGATCCAGTCAACGAGAGGAGAGTGTTTGATCTGATTGTGGCTGCCAGTTCCCAGGAAACAGAGTCATCCCAGTATTTCATCCTAACACCCAAGGTAATTTAGGTCTAATGCGTAAGTATCATGTGATAACTCCTGTTATCAAAATCTTGTGATCTACTTTTAATGTGTGGTGAGTTTGAAACGAGTAAGCTGATTGGTCCACACGAGGTATATACTTGATTTCCCGTAGAATACCCCGTAGAAAACCTTGTTTCTCATATTATTACGTGAAAATGAGAGTATCGCCCAAAGTTCTAGCTCTGGATGCACCCACTCTAGGGCACTCCTAAGATGTGCTGTACGTCCCCAAAAAAAACGTCTATAATGGTGGCCCTCTGTAGGGCATGTATATACACACCTCTGTAAAATGAGCTGTGCTGTATGTAAACTGATTGACCTTATGCACGATAGAACAAACCATAGAACAAGCCATAGACAAGCCATAGTCTCACCTCAGACACACCGCACTCCTACAGTTTCACATCCCAAGAATGCCGACCAGTTGCTGGTGGTCCTGGGAACTCTTTACTCCTCGTGATTTCACACGAGTGGGCTTAGAACTATAGTATATGTACCCTAAATGGGTATGTTGGTGTGAAATCGTAGAGGCTAACGCAATGCATAGCACATCAAAGGTTCCAGGTTGGGTGCTTACTGGAATGCTATGACAAGGGTTTGTGTGTGTGTGGGGGGGTACATGTTGCTGGGAGTGCAGTGGCCTTGGCAGTCATTGGCTGTTGTTCCCATAGGACCCGGTGGCCTGGATTGGAATGATGGCTTTCTTTGAAGTGTGTGCCTAGTCAGCCCCCTACAAATTGTATTTTAGTGGTTTTCTTACGCCAAAAGACAGCACTTTTGATAGAGCGTGTGTATAGGAGACACACGCTCTATCAAAAGTGCTGTCTTTTGGCCTAAGAATGCCGCATGCTGTCCTGTTTTATAACTGTTATACAACTGTTTAGGAGTTTAACTGGCACTATAAATGCGGTGAGACTAGTCATTTGTGGGATACGTGGCCCAGTGAGATTATGTTTATGAGTTTGCAAATCTTAGCTCGGTGGTAACATGGATAGCTCTCTCAACAATTTCAGAGTTTATCATTGCAAGATGCCTTAGCTCTAGCAAGCTCTCTAGCTCTCTCGTAGTGCCAAATTAGTATGTAGTGCTTGGCTGTTTCCAGCTATTGCAGGAACTGGACTACACCAACGCAGTCACTGTTCACGTGGTCCACAACGGACAAGAGATGCCCAAATTCAGACAACAGACTTCAGAGTGTTTCCTTTGCTGATCTCTTCACCTCTCTCTCATCTTTGACTTTACTCAACCCATGTATACAATAAACCTCGCAGTTAGTCAGGTATATGATCTCAGAATTTGATCACCGGTTTATCATTATCCGTTATATACATGAACAGTATATAGACTCTTCATTATCCCTCTACTTTACTGTGATCGTGTCACTTGACCTTTATACGTTTTGATGAGTGTTTTATACAACACGTAGCACACAAGTTTGATAGGGCCGTCCTACTATGATAGTTGTGGTGATAATTTATAGTTGGTATTATAATGCAAGTATCCTTGTGATGACAGATTTACATATATACTAGTATATAATATATACACATGTGGTCAAATCAACATTTACATTTGGAGGAAACGGAAACTCCCAGACAGCCGACCTCCTGAGCACTCCTGTACACCGAGCTCCTCCATGTCTCCAATAGCTGTCCATACTCTTTCAGAACAACTGGGTTTTTTTCAGAAATGTCTGTCGTCTCAAACGGGTCGTCTATTAGGTCGTAGAGCTGTGCCGAGTGTACAGTTCCACCACTGTACTCTGAGTAGACTTTGTACCTGTCTCCACTTATGGCTGCGTGATACGTAGAGTTGAAATCTCCGTCCCGTATATGGAAGGCCCAGGCAATGGTCTTGTTCCTGGCGTGCCTCTCTTGTTTTATCAGAGGGAGGATAGACTCTCCATCGATGGTACGGTCGGTGGGAGCACTGATGTTGAGTATGTCACAGACTGTGGGGAGGAGATCGCTAGACACCACTGCATAGTCTGAGACTCTGTTTGAGCGTATCATTGACGGCCACTCTATGATGCTTGGTACTCTGATACCTCCTTCGTAGAGCTCCGATTTCCAGCCACGGAACCCGTTTGTTCTGCCCGGTGTTCCCTTGAGGGGACCGTTGTCGCTGGCAAACCACAGCATCGTGTTGTTTGAGACGTTGTACTTGTTGAGAAGCTCTCTAACGAGTCCAACAGCAGCGTCCATTGCTGTGATGGCTCCATAGTAGTCTATCTCGTCTTGAGAGTAGCCATCTTTATAGTATCGCTCTATGTAGCCCATACTGGCAAGGTAGCGGATGTGTACAGTATGGAAGGGTAGGTAGATGAAGAAAGGTTTGTCTTGAGGGGTTATGTACTGCAAGAACTCTTCGACTAGTGAAACAAGAAAGTGAGAGTCGTCCCCCATAACTGGGTGTGTTAGGGCCAACAGTACTCCCAGCTCATCGTCTCTGGAGTAATAGTCGGTACAAGGTGGAGAGCCCGTGTAGTGACCCAGCGGGCAAAGACTGGCATTGAAACAGGCACAGTTTAGGTCAGTGGTGGGTGCTGATCTTTCCGTTACCCACCATTCGTCGAATCCTTGCATATCGGGGCTGACTACAGGCCACTTTTTGTTGCCTCCTTCTAGAGTTTTTAGATCTCCGAGGTGCCACTTGCCGAACACGGCCGTCTCGTATCCCTGCTTCTGGAGGATCTCCGCTACCGTTACCTCTGAGGTGGGGAGTGGCATGCCCTCTGGACATCCGAAGTCGCCGCAGTTGTTACCTGCATTCGCCGTCCACACGCAGTAGCGGTTGTGGTTCCGTCCCGTCAGTACTGTGCCACGCGTAGGAGAGCAAACTGGCCCTCCGCTGTAGTAGCGGTCCAGTCGGAGGCTGTGCGGACCGGACGCCATGGCGTCCAGGTTGGGCGTCTGTGCCGTGCCGTCGTTGTAGCCCAGGTCTCCGTATCCGAGGTCGTCCGCCATCATAAACACGAAGTTGGGTGGTCTGTCGGCCTCCGCGAGGGACAGGGATGCGTGGAAAAGTAGAAGTACGCACACTATCTTTTCCATGACTGGTGGGGTCGTGGTGGTATATAGGAGAGAGAGAGAAAGAGCATTGTTATGCAACAGTAGCTAATTTATACACTATTGTTTCCACCCAGCTTCGGGGCATTTTATCCTTGTGTATGCTTACCTCTTGGTTCCTGCGCACCCATTTAAAGGCTCCGAAAGAGAGAAAAAGAAGCTCCCAGGGCTGGCATGGGCTTTTTTGTACTGACCAGTCTCGATCTCGCGCGTGCGCACAAAAAGTAGGGGGGTGGGGCTCCACGCTTGGAGAGAGCTAGAGCTAGAGGCGGGGCCGACCCACCCCTAGCTAGCTAGCTAGCTCTAGCTATATAGCTAGCTAGCTAGTAGATATAATATATCATAGTTTCGACGCTCACGCGCGCGTGCGCACACCATCTCCTCCAGCGAGCAGGGGCGCGCGGGGGCGTGTTTGCTTGCTCATGTGCTAGCTTTTCGATACTGAGCTAAAAGGAATCATGGAACAACCTGCAGTCGTGTTAGTGGTCGTTCTGGCTGTTGCTGCCGCCAATCAGACCGTCATCTCGCTGAACGGAGACAATTGGATCCTGTCCGATAGTTTCGGACGAGTCAAGGGACTCCAGGCCACTGTTCCCGGACAAGTACACATTGACCTATAGTACGTAGTACTAGCTACTATTAGCTAGTACTATTCTTGAAACTGTATTACTGCACGTGGTTATAAGCACACTTATAGATTTTACTTAGATCAGTTCACTTCGTCTTCTGAAGCTGTAGAAATGCTTGCACATGTATCTAGTCTCGTATATACCAAAAGAAAGGGTGACTGTAAAAAGTGTGGTAAAAGGCAATGTTACTAGTCTCCTATTTCTTCTGCAGCAAAGAGGGGATTATAAAAGACCCATATTGTAAGTTTCACTCGTGCTAAAGAACTACATTAGTCTACTGGTGGTCTCACTAGACGGCTGGAATGATTGGGAGGAGAGATGGGTCGCCTATGACAACTGGCAGTATTCGCTGACCTTTGACCTTACATCGGATGACGTAACTGGCCGCACTCTCTACCTGAGATGTGGAGGTCTGGACACTGTTGCCAATGTCACGTAAGAGAAACACCTGTAGCATCTTGCACACACATAATTATTACGCCTGCATTTTAACAAGTTCACTGCTGGAGATCATGCCAAGTGAACTCTTAGCTTATTGCGCATGCAAACCACTGTACTAGAAAATGTATTATAGCATCCAAAAGCAAACTCTGACATGTGACTTTAAGATATTCATATTAACATCTGGAATTTGTAATACAGCATTTATATACGTATATACAATAACAGTTATTCCAGTCTTGCATGCGTACGTAAGATCTCGCATACACTGAATGGTGCAGATCCGCCGTGGGCCCTACTAGGGTTGAGCACCATTACTGCTACTCCCATTATTCTATTCCGCAATCTCTCGTAAATCTTTCCTATTATTCCTCCTCGCTGCCCCTATTATTTCCCTTCGAGCTGGCATCGCTACACCCTTGCGAAAACAAAAGGGGGCGTGTTAGAACGAGAAGGGGAAGGAAAATGCCGAGTATGCACGTTTTTGTTCGCGCGGTTTTGCTGTCTACCTCGCTCCCTCCGCGTGAGTGATGCGCTTCTTATCGCTCTTTTTGCAGTGCAGAGATCCAGGTAAGGTCTCCATCTTTCGCAAAACCGCGGAGGGCAGAAGCTACCGGCAGACAGAAGATCGCGCAACGCCTAATCCGACTATTATCCCAGAATTATGCATTTTCTGGAAGCCCCTAGTATTCCAAAATTATGCCAGCCCTATTGGGCGCCAGCATACCACTACACTTCCATCATTGCCGTCACCAAGACCATAAGTACGTACTCCTATCACCACATCGGGTACTGCTCTTCTGCCATCTGCATCAGTGTGAATGGCCTGCTCATTGGACAGGCACACACTTTCCACGACGGTGGATGTGTGACATTCCGTGTTAGTTCCCTGTCTCATTGAGATGTACATATTACTGGCAGGCCGTGATCGTTTCAGAATGCTGTGGCAGAAGCAAACCAACATTGACATTGCTTTGTATTCCGCGGGGTAACGATACAGTGGGGGTAAAGGTGTAGAGGCATGTTTGGTTCCCTGCTCCTTAGAAACTCTTAGATGCATATGTAGTAGCGCATAGACCAAAAGCAAGGGTGGCGGTGTGACAGATATTATATAGCACAATATAGGGCCACCCAAAGTTATACGAGAGGCCAAAAACCATTGTATGATCAATATCCAGTTCTACATGCTATTCTCCGGTCCCATCCCTCACCGATCCCTCCCTCCTAGAGTGCGCTACTAGCTCTGCGGATGTGGCAGGAGCCTACCCATGAACTGATCCTAGGAGGAGGCATCTATTCACACGACGACTCAACACAGAAACTTGTCCGAAAGCCCAGTCTGACTTTGCGGGACTGGGGCCTGCCTTTGTGCCCACTGAATATGAAAAGCATTGAGGAGCACTCGTTCCAAACGACCGGAGGAGTGATAGTGGGCATGCGAGATAGGCCCCCCCCAGTCACTGTGGGGTGTTTTTTTTTTTGTTTGGATTGTGGATCTTCGAATTTTTTTTAATACCGGGGTTAAAGTCCGGCCCAGCTTTTTAGATATTACCAAGGGGGGTGTAGCGTCTCATAACGCCCCCTCCACTGAGTGTGAGAAATAGCATGCTGTGTGTTGCCATTCTATAACAATTTATTGCACGGGGACAACTAGGGAAAATACAGAGACAAAGCCTCTGCAGCATTTCTGGGTGGAATAGGAAAGCAAAGGGGGTAAAGACAACCCATAATATAACCGTGATTGTTTAATCGTTTACTTAATATCCCGGAACTCAATAATTAAGGATGCCTATGTGGTGACAGCATTCCAAAGACTTATGTCAAACGACACGGACAAGTCCTACTATGCAGTAGACCACCCTGCGTTCTACCGTGCTCACAACGTCAAAAACAAGTATATGTCTAGTGAACATACATGTATTAGCTGAGTATATTATACTTTGGTTCAGCTATGCCTGGGGATGTGTGAGATGGAGTGCAGGATGTCAAGCCTATGAGGGAGTAAGGTTGCCTCTCACTTCACCTCTCTTACACTTCTCAATCAGTTATCAAAAAACTTGATGATATTACTTTGATTATACCAATCTTTCACACCAAACCCGGCTTAGACTGGGATCACCAAAGAATCTCCAGTCTGGTATGATGAATTTATCAAAAATAGACAACATCTTGTCTCCCTACCTATTCAACTCCATACCAGGATTTCTTGCAGAGAGGCATGAGAGAGATATGTGTGCAATTCTCTACAGTGCCTCACATTGTACAGGACAATATAGAGCGACCCCACCAGTAACGGCCTCGCCCAGAAGCAGGGTATAGAACGGACGGTCGCGAAGGGAAATGATACCATCAGTAGAAACTAAAAACAAAAGTTTAAACATACAACCAGGCGGGACGGCAGGACGGCGCAAAAAAGAATACATGTGGGATGCCCT